CTGTCAGGAAGTTTTTCCTTAGTTCTAAGTTGCTTCTCTCCTTGATCAGTTTCCATCCGTTGCTTCTCGTCCTGCCTTCAGGCGCCTTGGAGAATAGCTTGACTCCCTCTTCTTTGTGACAGCCCCTGACATACTGGAACACTGCTATCATGTCCCCCTCGTCCTTCTGTTTGTTAAACTAGACATACCCAATTCCAGCAACCGTTCCTTATATGTTTTAGCCTCCAGTCCCCTAATCATCTTTGTTGCTCTTCTCTGTACTCTTTCTAGAGTCTCAACATCTTTTTTACAGCGTGGTAACCAAAACTGGATGCAGTATTCCAAGTGTGGCCTTACTAAGGCATTGTAAACTGGTATTAATACTTCACGTGATCTTGATTCTATCCCTCTGTTAATGCAGCCCAGCACTGTGTTGGCTTTTTTTGGCAGCTGCAGCACACGGCTGGCTCATACTTAAGTGATTGTCCACTAGGACTCCAAGATTCCTCTCACAGTTACTACTATTGAGCAAGGTACCACCTATACTATACCTGTACATTTGGTTTTTCTTGCCTAAATGTAGAACCTTACTTTTTTCACCATTGAATTTCATTTTGTTAGATAGCGCCCAGTGTTCAAGTCTGTCCAGGTCCTCTATTAATATTTACTGGATTTTAATTGGGATTGTTTACCTTGTGGGGTTTTTGTATGTTTCCCTATATGGTGCCCAAAGCTACAATTTTCAAGTTGGGCCATCATACAAATTCTACATACGTATACACACACACTTACATACTTACCTGGATCCAAAGTCTCAAAATCACACAACATCCGATAAGCTGTGCAGGGGTTAACACCCAGTGTGGCAGCACAAGTCAATGGAATATCTGGGGGGATTTTCAGCAGAATTTTCTCATCAAATACTGCTTCTGTTCGCCAAGTTCCTTTTGTAAGAGATTAAAAAAAGACATGATTCCAGTTGTGGAACAGTTAATCACAATTTGGAAGTTCTCAGCTCTCAGAAGAGACCCTAAAATATTGTCAAGAAACACTCGACAGATAAATCATTGAAAAGATTGGGTTAGTACAACATACTAAGTTATAAAGTCCGGTTTCCAAACAGCCACCATGCTTCACACATTGGGCTATGCTACAAAATGGTTTCCTCAGCTTTGACTTCGCCTTTTGTGATAATCTGGCCATGACAATTTGTAGTCAAAGATTTAAGATTCAGCAGAGGGACTAGACAAAAGGGAAACACGTGTTTTGCTTCAATTCCTTCTCCAAAAAGTTAAAAATTCACCAAGTCCCGCATCAGCTGGAATCACCCAGTCTCCTGGTTTCAAAGTTGTCACAGAATTTCCTGTGTCCATCACTTGCCCAACTCCTTCGTTCCCTCCAACTGCAGGTAAGTCAGCAAGAATGGCATAGGATCCTGCAAGACAACAGGAACAATTTTGGGATATGAATTAATTAATTCAAACTTGCTTTGGCATGTACATTATTTTCTTATTCTGTAGCAAATTCCAATAACACATAACATATACAGTCATAAAGTTTTTCAAGGTAGATTTCAACAATGTAATAATACTGAATTGGTTCACTTATCGCTTTAAGCCATGGGTCCACAACCTCTTTGGCCACACTGAAGCTGCATTCTTAAATGGGCAGGTTTTCGATCTTGGAAGAGGATTTGGGGATTTTTAATGGAGTAAATGTTCTTTAACTTAGTTAATTAATCCCATTAAGCTAAGCTTTAGATAATTTTACTTGTTAAAACACAATTGAATTGTAACCCTAAGCTATAAACTATAGTTAAAAAAAATATAACAGTTCACATATGAAAAATCTAAATCAAGTAAATCGTATTATAGCTCAAGGTAATCTGGAGTGGCTGAAATTTTTCCCTAGGGTTCCTAATTTTCTTAGCCAATTAGGTCTGGTGACTGGTTAGCAAAGATCCTGCAGGATCGATAGACAGCTGTATTCCCACAAACAAGAAATAATTCTCTTATCTTTTCTTTAATCTTTGGTATAATAGCCATTTCCAAGTTGATGCAGATAATACCACTTATTATAGATAGCATGTATATTATTATATTACTTTGCTATTTAGGTTGCCATCATTATTTTAGAGACACTCTGCATGTGGCAACTTCCAAATATAGAAACTTAATTAATGACTCTTAGGAATGTTTCCAGAGATTGCACAGTAATATAGCCTAAGCTGAACTGATGAAGATAGCAGCAGCTGTAGGCAAGCTAACTCTGTCAATCCTGTGTACTATCTCACTGGGAATACTATTAAATGTGGACCATATAGAGGCTTAATTTTCACTTGACAGGACCACATAAAGGAAGAATATGGGAAGCAAAAATTAAACAATGTGCATTATGTCAATGATACCTTGAATCATATTGATGTCTGACGGGTTGATAGGAGCTGCAATCATTTTCATGTGGACTCCAAAATCCCCCAGTTTGGCTAAAGCTACATCTTTTAGGCTGCAAGGAAAAGCAGGCAGAATAGATTTATTATTCTTAAGCTTCTCTTTGCAAGCAAAGAGATTTGCAAACATTTCACTCGCATGAAAAGTTTGTCAGAAGACAAGCTCCATCAACTTGTTCATGGCACCAATCTTTTTTTTTTTTTTACAGAAAAGGAATCAGACAAAAGGTGCACATACAGATTATACTAAACCATAGTATTGTCTGCTTTTATATCGTGCACCCACTTAAACACCATACCTACTTTGAAGCCAATGCTGCTATTTATAAATTTTTATTCTTCACTTGAAAACCAGTTTCATATATAGTTACAGGTAGTCCTTGACTTATGACCGGTGGTTTAATGACTATTCAAAGTTATGATGGTGTCAGAATCCAATTATATTTCATCTCTAGTTATCAACTATGGAAAACCCCATTTCTGCCTTTTCTGGATTCTGTCATACGATGAAGGGAAGGGGGTGAACAAAGGGGCTTTATGGCCCTCACTTCCTTCAGTATACTTCAAAGGGACTGGATGTGGATACCACCAAAAGGACTAACAATAACAATTGGGGCCATTAACTTTCATGTAATCCTTTCTGAAGTCTTTCCTCCCGGCAGTGAGGAAAAGGGGGTGGGAATGCAACGCCTGAAACTGTCGCTGGAAGAAGGGGGTGATGGGATGGGGCTACTGGGGGATCCCTTAAAACCTTGAATGGGAGAGCTTGGACCCCAAGTCCTGTCTAGAATACCTGCAACCAGTTTTCTCTTAATAAAGATGCCTGTTGCAAGAAATATTCCAAGAGTTCTGTCTTCTTAAGATGCAAAGCGGGGTGGGTCCTTACAGATGGCCTCAAAAGAGCATTTCCGTCTGTTTCTCCTCTCCCCCAGTCACATGACCATATTTTAGGCACCTGGCAACTGATTCTCATTTACAACTATTTGCCAAGTGCCCTGTGGTCATATGACTGCCATTTGCCACCAACTGCCGGCTTCCCTAATAAGTCAATATGGAAGCTGGAAAGGACAGTTGCAAGTGAAGGGTATGGAGGAGAGCTGAAATCCTTTGGCAGGCTGCAGGAATGGGGCTGAATTTCAGCTCTATTCTTCCAGTCTTTGAAGGATTCCCCCTCAGAGCACAGAGGAACTCTTCATGAGACCTTAGAAACAGATTCTGAAGACTTCAGTCATTCCTGCAGCCCCCTCAAAGGATTTCCCCTCCATGCATGGAGAGGAGCTGAACTCATGTGAGCTACAGGAATGTTTGAAAGCAAAAGGGCTGCCTGCTGGGAGAATTTCAGCTCCACATGGACCTGAAATCTTCCAGCAGGCAGCTCTTTCACTCTATTTGCTTAATGTTCTGAGAGATCATTTACTGGCTACAACTGGGAGTGCAGGGATTGCAGTTACTGAGCAAAGCAGTCACATGGGCATCTTGCTTAATGATTGCTTTGCTCAAAGACCAAGATTTCAGTCTCAATTGTACTCATAAATTGAGAATTATTTGTACAGGTTTATTAGTCTAAGATGAATTCACTTGATTTTGACAGGCAAACAATCCAGATAATACTGCTGCCCCTTTTTCTAATGTTGCCCTTCCAGTTTGTTTTCTTTAGAATTGAATTCCTGATTATTCTTTTCCCCCAGTTTAGTACAATGTCAGTTTATTAAGTGCTACCAAGATACTACTAAAAATGTTTAATTTTGTTTTGTGATAAAGAAATGAAGACTCCAATCTGCAGTAGCAATGTTAACATCACATCTCAGCAGAAATATCAGTTTGAGCATAGAGGACTGGGGAATACTGTTTTAGTATATTTACTTCTCTTAGGTGCTTATTCTATTAAGTGCTAAATTAATTCTATTAGTGCTATAATTATTTTTAAATTTTTAAAAACTGTTATCTGATAGCTGGTTTTATCTTCCTGATTTATTTCCAAACGAATATCTCCAAAACCAGCCGATTATATTACAAAATAAAAAATAATTCTCAATAAGCCTGGAAATTCACAGGTTGCATTAAAATACCTACTTGTGGGTTTTAATCTATAAATACAAAATTCTCAGCCAGAACCAACATACAGAAAACCATGTATAGAAAGAACACATTCCAGCTCTTTAATCTTAGCATTATTAAACATAATAGGTGTTGGGATTTTTATGATTCAGGCTTCTATAGTAAGACTAGGCCAGTGGCCAGCTTGCGTATTAGAGGCCTAGGACAATAAGTAGGGCAACCACATTGTTGGGAATGATTATTGCAATGGTCAGGTAATTTTGCTTTGCTAATCGATTCTTAGACTGGTACATGTTTTTCGTTCATTCTTTTACATCGACGTAACGTATTGTAATTTTGTATATCCTGTTCCAAACCACATAATGTTTCCCTGCCTTGCTGTATCTGAACATCTTGTAACAGGAAAAGCTCTATAGAAATGTATTCACACCTGCTGTTGCAAACTGCTTGGAAACACAAGCCACAGAGCCTGTCCGGATAACTCCGGACATGAGAGAAAACCACATCCTATGGAAAGCATTAACCAATTATATGCTAAGACACAACTGCATGTTAACTTACTTAGTTTTCTGCCCTGCAACAAGTATGTAACCAATTATATGATAGCATGTACTTAATTGACTGCACATGTAACCAATCATGTAACAAGCATGTACTTCCTCATATAAGCAAATAAATGAGGAACTCAGAACACCCCCTGAGTCACTCACCTCGAGGAAATTCCTGCGTGTGTTTTCTTTTCTGGCTTGTCGTCGCTTGCCAGGACTCATGGGTGGCCCACCTTAATTGTGGCAAACCACAAAAGCCACAAATGGTGACCCCGACGTGATCTCTGCGGAAGTCGTTGCTTACCCAGAGATGCGTCTCGGACCCCCCCTTACCCATTCGCCTGAGGGAGGCTGTGCACATTCGTCCCGTCTGAAACACGACTGGATACTCGTGAGTATGGGGGGAAAGTTCTCTCAACAACAGGTCGCGCACCTGAAGGAACTGAGGGAACTAACCGAATCTTCTAAAATTTTTTTGCTTCAAACGGGGGTAAATCACTCCCTCGATTGAAAAGCAATGATCTAATTGGCCTTCTGACATACATTTGGCAACACTTTCCATCGTACCCAGAAAAGGGGAGTTTTAAATTAAGTGCATGGACAAAATTCCCTATACCCCCACACAGAAAATATTAGAGAAACTATCTTGAAGTAGAAACAACAATAAGGGGAATTTTCAGAGTAAATTTAAAGACATAAATTAACTCAAAATGTACTCCTCTGCAATGCATTTTGAACAAATAGGAATGTTTTGAAACTTCATGTAACTGTTAAGTTTAACGCTGTCAGACAATGTCTGATGGTGCTGTGTGTTGACATGTATTGTATTTTGTTCATATATATAAATATGTGTTTTGTGTATATGTGTGGCCACCCAGAATATTATGCTTGAACTTGGAATGGTGAGAAAAATAGGAGATGATAAAGGGCCCTATCTAAAAAACCACATGTTTGGTTGAAATCAGCTCTTGATTTTTCTCGCTTTTTGCAGGACAAGTCATACGTTTTAATAAATGTTGTTTTAACAGTATTTCTGTATTTATGTTTGTCTATGTTGTTTTGTGTTATTTCCAAGACTTGGAAGAGGGTCAAATCCTCTCTGATAACAACAATACAAAAAGGCCTTATTCAGAATGCATGGTTTGCCTGGAAAACGTATGAAATGAAATATTTGTATGTGGAATTATTTGTGAAACCAGTTAGCATGGAACTGGATGAGTTTATTTGCTGATATTTCAGTGTGTGTGTTAGCCCTCAAACCCCACCCCCCACCCACTTTCTCCCAGACTGTGAAAGAAATAATGAATGATAGATTTTGTTATTGTAAAAGTAATTGGAGAGTAATAGTAAGTGTTTTTAGTCAAGGAAAGAAAACTATTTTTTGGCACTACTAGTCACAAAATGGAAGCTTTGCAAAACAACCCATTTCCTGCTTCTTTTTCCTCTCCAGCAATGCCCCACCCGGCCGGAAATCGTTTCAACTGTGGTAAACCCGGCCATTTTTAATCACAATGCCGCCCCCCCCTGGGGGAGGGGCCTATTAAGGGCAGTTTATTCAGTCAACCAAACCAAAGACATTTTACCCAAAATGTAAAAAAGGAGTTTTTAATCAGTGTCGTTCAATTTATAGCAATTGTTAGGCATCCTCTTTACCTACAAATTTGCTCAGTCCATTATTTGATTTAGTGACCAAAGGAAAACAACCTGAAAATTTTCATTGTAGTTCCATCTGGAGCATTTGCCACAGTGGAACAAATTAATGACATTTTGAATATTCAATTTGTGGACAGGATTCCACATAACCATTGTCAGTTAACACTTTTGATTGTGAACACTCTAACACTACCTACATGTTCAATCACTCAAGTGACATCTTCGCTGCTGTTTTGGAGTGGACCCACATTTTTCACACACCTAGAGCCACTCTTACTCAAAAATCAGCTCTATTTGCTCAAATAATTATGAAAGGCCGCCAGCTGTCCAAAGCTCTGGCTGGCATTGAACCTTCTACACTGTATGTTCCATGTTCCCTCTCTACTTGGGAAACATTGTTTGTCAACTGTGAACAACTCCAGTTTGCACTTGCGGACTGGGTTGGCACTGTCTCTTGTCATCCACCCCCGGATCCCCGCTTGCAACTTCTCAAAACTTTACCTTTCACTTGGCAATCACCTTTTCAACCTCACCCTATTCCAGATGCCATCACAGTGTTTGCTGATGGCAGTAAAAAATATGGCTCCTGTGCCTGGCAAAAAGAAGGTATCTGGCACACTAAAATCACTCCACCTCTAAGAGCAGAACTTTTTGCTTCTATATTGGCTTTTCAACACTTTTCTGACGAACCTTTTAACCTCATCCTGGACAGTCTGTATGTCACTCAAATTGTTAGCTCTCTCTACACTTATTTCTGCTCGACATTTTCCTTTCCTTGTTTCACACATTTG